AGAGAATGTCAACCCAGGTAGAAAAGCAGAGCAGCGTGTTGGTGACGTTTCATGTCTCTGTGCTGCTACATCCTGTGCTCGTGTTTCAGGTGGGAGGCGAGCAGCTGGAGCGAGTGCTCCAGGACCTGCGGTGAGGGGTTCCAGTTCAGACAGGTCCGCTGTTGGAAGATGCTGTCACCGGGCCTGGACAGCTCGGTCTACAGTGACCTCTGCACCATGACCGACCTGGAGAGACCGGTGGAGAGACGGCCCTGCAAGAGCCCCGCTTGTGGCCCGCAGTGGGAGGTGGCGGAGTGGACGGAGGTACGAGACGCAGAAAACAAAGAAAACCAGATTATTTAAAAACAGCTGTGGAAGATACACACACACACACACACACACACATGTTTGCTAGTGTCCATCACTTCTTCTACCTTGAGATGGACTTTTTCTTTCAGCTCAAACATCCCTCTCCTGCCAGCCTCCAGTTCAGCAGCTGACCTCTGCATGCTCTCTTTTCTGATTGTGGTCTCTGGTGGATTCTCCAGAGATACTAAGACACCAGTAAAACCTCAATGTGATGTGGGCACAATCAGCTATTTCACACCACCCGCAGACCTTTCAAACTGATTTAAAGGAGCTCTATTAAACTCTCACCATTAGTGATGTCACTCTGGGACACCTGGTGAGTAGTGTAGTGAGATGTGGAGCTCTAAAACCTCCTCATGTATCTGATACTGGTGTCAGTAAAATCCCGGTCTTCAGAAACTTCACATAAACATTGAAAACGTTCAATCTGAAAGTCTTTGCCCCGCCTTCAGCTTGGTGTTCCTTCCACCAGAGAGATTCATATCAGCTACTGTCTCTTTAAGGCCCCGCCTCCCAACGTGTCCACTCTCCTCTGATTGGCCAGCTGTGTTTGCAGTCACAGGGAAATTGGAGTGAGCTTCCTGGTGGGCGTGTCCTTCATGCTCTGATGCTACAAACATTAGAAAGTCAGGAAATCTTGCAGAGTTAAAACTGAAGCTAAAGTTCATCCTCCTCACGTCACTGACCTCCTGATGATACGCTTTAATCTTTAGGAATCCACTGATGATGCTCTGCACGACTTGATGCTTCATTTGTCTTTTTTTAAAAATCTAAACATGTGATGATGATGATGTTTGAATCTGCCTCTCCTTGGTCACAGTGTCCTGCTAAATGTGGCCGTAAAGCCCAGGTGACCCGGGATGTCCGCTGCTCTGATGAAAGCAGACCGTGTGACCCGATGACCAAACCCCCCAACATCAAGAACTGCACCGGTCCGCCCTGCGAACGCCACTGGACCGTGTCCGAGTGGGGACCTGTGAGTGTTTTTACCCTGCGGATACACAGCGCAGCGAGTACCCCCGAGTACCTGAGGGACTCGAACCATGTGAAGGTTTCTTAAAGATTAACGTATTTACTCTTCACACAGTCTGCCCCCCCAGATGGATTTGGAGTAGAAATGCTACAGCATGAAATGAAGGTTTATATTTTGTTTTCATGCATCTTGACTTCAGATGTTTTGTTGCATGAGCTCAGAGAAACCTCTGTGCAACCACACAGAACCGTTATGAGCTGCAATGAACGCCATAAATCTATGTTTTCATTTACAGGTCTGTCTTTATCGTGTATTGAGCCAAACCCAAAACTAGGTGTAGGCTAGGGCAGGGGTTCATAAAGGTATAAACGCCATCATGGCGTCAGACTCAGTCTCTTCGTCCTCTATCTTGTAAACATTACGACCACTGCGTCCTATTTAAACTTTTTTTGCCTCCTTGTGACAAAAGTTGGTTTCATATGAGAACATAAAAGTCCGTTTATCATTATGAATCATCCCAGTTTGACCTTTGACCTTTCTCTGTTGCAGTGCTCGGGGTCCTGCGGTCAGGCCAAGATGGTGCGCCATGTGTACTGTAAGGCTCCGGAGGGCCGCGTGGTCCCTGAGAACCAGTGCTCAGCGGAGAACAAGCCGCTCGCCATCCACCCGTGTGGGGAGAGGAACTGTGCTCCACACTGGCTGAGCCAAGACTGGGAGAGGGTGAGGCTGAAGGGGGGGGGGTTAAATAACACCCGACTCACGGTGTCGGGACCATTGATAAATATTTGAGCCGTTTGTTGGTCAGAGGTTCTTCACATTCCCTCTGTCCGTTAATGTGTTGACTTCTTCTTCTTGAGTTTTTCTGTCTTTGGAAAAATAAAATCTAAAATGTAGTTGGCGGAAATGTCAGTCAGCGATTCGACCCTGTTTGAGCCCGATATGAACCCATGTAACTGGATGTCTCTGTGCAGTGTAACACGACCTGTGGGCGAGGCGTGAAGCGAAGGATCGTCCTGTGTGCCGGCATCAGCGCGGGAAAGTTTCAGAGCTTTGACGACGAGGCGTGTGGAGTCGCCGAGAAACCTGAAGAGGAGAACACGTGCTTCGAGAGGCCGTGCTTCAAGTGGTACACCACGCCCTGGTCTGAGGTGAGGACGACACACACACACACACACACACACACACACACACACTGCACCTTTACACCTCTGATGTGGAGAGTGGATTGCTCATGTCTATCCCTGTAGGACTCTTTCATAACGGTCAGAAACAGCTCATTTACATATTTAAAGGTACAGACACAGAAACAGCCTGTTCTGAGCAGGGCTGAAATAGAGGGGTTTATAGACATGATCAAATACAGGATCAGAGTGGATTTAGAACAAGAAACTTCACACACATGTTTTGAGGAGATCTGACACTTATTTAAACTGGATGAAGAGGAGGAGAATATGTGACCTTTAACCTCAAATGTTCCCAGTTGAGTTGAGGCCACAGAGCGACCTTCCAGTTCCTCAGATGTGTGTGTGTCTCTCCTCCTGTGTGTCCGTCCTCAGTGCACTAAGACGTGTGGAGTTGGCGTGAGGATGAGGGACGTGAAGTGTTATCAGGGCCGGGAGCTGGTCCGAGGCTGCGACCCCCTCACCAAACCTGTGTCCAAACAGACCTGCACCCTGCAGCCCTGCCCCACGGAGCCGCCAGGTAACGCCTCAGGAAGCCTGCTGACCTGCCGTCAGAGAAACCAGACAAACATTAGTTTCTGCCTTCATATCTTGCACAGAGGTTTTGGTAACTTTGGAGAAATGCAGGGAGAGATTGTTTTTAAGTTTAAATCAGTCAAAGTCAAAGTTTCTAAAATAATGATTCAAACACATTTCAGTTTTTATTTGGCAATGAGCAAGTCTTTGGACTTCAGTGTAAAATTACAGGATGTAAACACGCCTGAAACAGTGGGAGTGCCAGGTAACAGAACCAGAAACATTATATAAAAGTATACAAACTTAGGATAACATAATTGACCCTTCATTGGCTCTCTGATTGGTCACCAGCCTGGTTAGACAAACTCTAGCCTGGGCCTTTAGTTTAGTTACAAAAGGTGTGACTCTAAATATCCACATCGTAATCGGGGACTTCTTGTTTAAATTTCATCATTTCATTGAATGTTCTGAGTTCATTCTGAGTGATTTATGAATCACTAACAGGGAGTTAACCCCGCGTGTTTCAGATGAGAGCTGTCAGGATCGTCCCTCCACAAACTGCCTGCTGGCGCTGAAGGTGAACCTGTGCAGCCACTGGTACTACAGCAAGGCCTGTTGCCACTCCTGCCGCGCTGTACGACCTCCAACCTCCTAGTCCAGGTCAGCGCCGCCTCTCTCCACGCCTCCACTCGGACTCCAGCAGGAGGAGAGAAACGTTTACAAAGCAGCAGTACTGTCGCTTACTGCGGACAGCGAGAGGAGGATGAAAGTCACAGTTTGAGCCTGTTTTTTGGTTTTTTTTCAGAGAAGAGCGTCCTTTGAGCACTCGGACTTAATGGAACCATGATTTATCTGGATGATTTGAAACAAAACCCGGTCATCACTTCGTTTAGTGCAACTTCAACTGCCATGTGCACATGTCACACAGAAATACTGACCGCCTCTGGCTGCCATTTTTTCCACCTGTCTTATTTGGTTCTGGTCCCGGATTTGTTGGAAACATTTTGAGAAAACTGCCCCCCCCCCCCGGACCCTCGACTTAAGTTTAGAGCAGAAACTTTAGGTAACATACAGAGATCAACAACGAGCACCGGGGCCGTGTTCTGTTTGTATCTCAATGTCTTCTTAAACCAGAGACAGACTTTACGCCACGCTTCAAAGACACCAGACTCCATTAACAAAACCCCTCATTTAGCTTTTAGCAGAACACAGAAGCCGTCTTAAACAGTCAGTCATTGCTGTTCAGTGTTTCCCCTACCACTCATTTGGGGTGGCGGCCCACCAACCATACGTAATAGCCCCGATACTCCAAGAGGAAGGCACACAAATACTTCATTCATGACATTTACAAAATGTGTGAACACACGTTAGTTTCATAAGGAGCGACAAGTACAGACCGATTTGACTAGAGCCCCCGACTTATGCAGGGGATCATCATTTATTTACCTCTACAGTCCCCACATTACAGGTCCAATCAGTGAGATGTGTAGAGAGGTAAATGATAAAGGTATCTTACTATCTGATCAGACATTAAGGAAACATGTTGAAGTGCTGGTTGCTATGACAACAATGCAGCAGCCAGTATGTCCTCCTTCTAACTTTAGATTCTGCTCCTGAATGCTCTGGATTTGTTTGGACCAGAGAAGGTAGGAGCTTTTAAGATGCTTGTGAGCATGGACTCTAGAGAGGAGGTGGGGGAGACAGCTCTCTATGATGTTTAGAATTTAGACTGCAGTACCTGTTTTAAACACTAGGGGTCAGAGTTACATACTGCTCCTTTAACTATCTTATTAATATCTTATATTTGTAAGCTTTTTAAATACATGCACTCTTCAAACAAACTGTTACATAAATAAAAAAAATTAAACGGTCTTTGATCCGCTTTTTAGTCGGGCGCTTACCCGCCAGCTGCTGCCCCACCCCCCGGGGACCAGGCCACCACCCCTAACTATTGAACCTCGGGGAAACACAGTTGTTTTTGTGATGTCACTGTAGTGTTTTAGATTCATAGCTTGGATCCTGCACACTTTATTTTCTAGCCTTCAAAACAACTAACCACTGAAATGATCCGTAGACGAGTCTTTCTTTCACTGGAGTCCGGTGTCTTTGAAAAAAGCCTTGTCATGTTCCTCTTTAACAAAAAGCTCTGTCTTTGTAGGGATCCTTTCAATCATGTTGTCAGATAATAACAATCTGAGCCCGTCAGCGACAGAAAAATAAACTTTGAGTGGCTGGTCTTTGATCATAAATATTGGAGCCACTTCTACATTTATGTTTATTGAAATCTCAAAATGTAAAGCAGGATTTCAAAGCCAGACTTCCCCTTTACGGTAAGTTCTGGAGCCCGAGTTGACCTTTAAATTGTCCCAAAAACCTCCATCGTCTCTCCGCAGCTTGCCCCCACTGTCCTTAACGCTGCAGTGAAAAAAAAAAGATCTATTAAATTATTTCTCAACAGAATATACTGCATGTCTAGGATATTTAATACAGATACTGTTTATGAAATATTATTTAATTGTGTTATAGTTTGGTGTCTGGCATGGCCCAACAGGAAGTTACAGGTTTATATTTCCATTCCACCCCCCTGCCGTTTGGCGCCGTGCCGGTACGCCTGCAGGACATGGAAGCATATTTATTAGTCATAGCACATTTTCATTTATCACGACGCTCCTGATGCCAGCAGACGTGGTCACTCATCGGGTCACATGATGCCAGTCCTGGTCTGTGTGACAGAGGAGAGAGAGTACAAACAGAGAGAGATTCCTGACACTTGAAGTATGGTTGAAGTGTATTCAGACGTGTTTTTTAACTATCGTGTACTGTGCTTTTATATAACGGATACCTCTTTTTGTACAAATCACAAGTCTGGAAGTTGTGTACTGTTGATAATAAATAAAAAGACCTGATGGTACTGACTCGTATTTCTATTAAAGAACAGTTTAAATGAACATTTTGGCCTCTCTGACGTTTTTTATATGAATTCATATATTTCTATAAGAAGGTTCTGTATTGGCAAAAATCTGACAATAAGACTTTATCACGAGTTACGACCTAATATATTACAAAGCTGTTTGAGGTGATATTTTATATTCCTTAAAACTGACAGATGTTAAGACGCAACCAAGCAGCAACCTCCTGTGTTAAAAATGAAGCTGATCCTGAAGTGTAAAATCCTGCAGTTCCTTGACTGTCCACTAGAGGCTGGCTGCAGAAGCACAGGAAGTCACATACACACCCATTCTAAAAAGTCTGTTTTTACAGCAGAGATGAACATGTTTACAGCCTGGTTCAAAAAACCAAATAGGTGTGATTAGCTCATGTCTGGATGGACACACACTGTACGGGGGGTGAATGTTTTGATGACTCATCAGTTTTGATTTGATGAAGGATAAGAGTTATTCACAATAAGGCGTGTAGCTGACCTGATTGACAGGTGGGCGCGGTGTAACGGTTTGTCAGGAGGTTTAAAACCCGCCTCAGCTCCAGCTCTCAGCCTGTCGTTAGCATTTCCATGGCGTCTGCTGCCTCCTGTATTAACAGATGGCTGACGTCACTTAGGCTTCATCCATTAATGTTTACAGTCTATTGTCACATTTGTCCTGAACAGTATGTATGGGTTCAGTATAGTGATTTAAGAAGTCGAATATAATGTTGAGACTCCAGGAAATCAAACTCAGATGCTTTTTTTATAAAGACATCAGCTGAATGTGTTCCGTTCTCTGGTGACCTCTGCTCCCTTCACCCTGAGGCTTCTTTGGATCTAAACAAGTCGACTCGTCCACTTTAATGAGGGTCAAAACTCATGCAGCAGTTCCCTCCCGCTGCTCTGCTGCCCCCCCCCATAATGCATCACTCAGATGACAAACAGTTTAGCATCTTTTTTTATTTACACTGTAAATAAAGTCACTTTCACATGACAGAGCAGCTGCAGTAGATGCAGGTTTGCAGCTGACGCCCCCTGCTGGTCAGTGGGATGGCAGCAAATCCTCTCATGTACTGAAGTGCAGAATATTAAAAACACATCTTCTGATAAAGCAGAGAAGAAACAAACACAACAAACAGAGTCTGCCTTCGGATTATTAAAAGATTCTGCTGATGATGGAAGACACTCTTTGATTAGTGGTTTTACACTTGACCTCCGGATCTTCCCGAGAACACTGTGAATGGATTCATGTCTGATGCGACTTCAAGGCTGCTAAAAACAAACCGTCGCTTCATTCAAAAAGCATCTTTTATAAGATAAACAAAATAAAACGACACAGGAGGTTGCAGAAGAGTTAACCCTGCATTCATGTGGCGTTGTAAACAATGACAGAATCATCAGCGATAAGACGATTTCACATGAACATGACTGCAAGTTGTTGCATTCAGATGATATGTTACATCTTTCTGCATGAAATGCAAAGGAAAGGAGCATAGATGCTTCCTCTCTGTGTGCAGCATGTTCGATAATAGTGTGAAAAAACAAAATACATTTCCTTCATTTTTTTTTCAACACAAGATAATCTTTCACACTTGCAGAAATCCTCAAAACTCCTGATATTTCCCGGAGGAGCTGTATGTGTGAACGCAAACAGACACATGTTTCTCTCTTCACCCGGAGTTTCTCCTCCAGCCTCTTCATATTTATTCTGCAGAAAGTCAGAGTGAACTGATGTGAGAACACAGCAGGATATAATCAGGAGAATTGGGCCTTAAAGAGACAGTAGCTGAAATGAAGTGCTTCAGGCAGAGGCTGAAATGAGAGATTTTACTGACACCAGTATCAGATAAATAAGGAGGTTAATGAACTACACATCGCACAACGCTACTGAACAGGTGTCCCAGGTGACATCACTAATGGTGAGAGTGAGAGTGTTCATTTTAAAGGAAAACTCTTGAGCTCCCAGAGTCGACCTGTTTCAAACGTTAATTTAATCGAACACTCGTCTGCTGCATAGTTTTTTCTTAAATGCTGGATTCTTCATATTGCTTTTAAAGTCTTCATACATCTCGTGGTCTACGTGCAGCACAGCGTCTATCTACAGGAAGATCTGTTCCAGGATTCACAGTCAAGTCATCATTGAATGCTTCAGAAAAGCCCTTTACACACAACACTCACAAACGGACAGAATCAGCAGCTGCTCGGAGTTCATATCGAATAAACAAAGAAACACAAAACTGTGCTGACAAATCTACAGCAGTGAACACGAACACGAGCTCCACGTTACGGCTGCACACGGAGCTCGCACTGATTTCTTTTACTCTTTAAACAACAATAACAAAGTTATCACTACACCTTTATTTTGAAAAAATGCTTTAATTTCTGTCCAAATGAAGATGGAACTATGTAAATATACAGAGAAGCCTTTAACTCACTTTATCAGATTAGAGCCGTTTAGAAGTGATTTTTTTTTTCTTTTCCAGTTGAATATAAAAAAAGGAGGTCGGTGCTCTCAGAGAAGGACTTAAGACAAGAACAAGAAATTTAATTCAGTTGATACCTTCTTCAAGACAAGAACCAGAAAAAATACTGGAGCACAAGAATCACTAAAGGAACCAAAGTTTGAGTTCAGTGATTCGTGTGCTCCAGTATTGTTTCTACTTCCTGTCTTGAAGAAGGTATCCACGATTATTAAAAAAAAAATTGTGCCCCTGATTATGTTATTTCCCTCCTTAATTAGGTCTGGTTTCCTGGCAACCTTTTGACGCAATGTGCCTTTTCCTTTACATGACAACGTTTTAGATGACTGGTCTCAGAGTACCAACTTTGAAAAGATCGCTCTGTCTCCACCGCCGTGTAGACTGACCATTCGAAGTTCCTCTGTAATAACTGAATGAGTAGCTGGACTACAACAACAATGGCCGACTCCTGAGTTCTGTTTCCAGTCATCATTTTCTTGAAGCTTACTAACTTTGTTGGATCAGTTGGAGTAGAAACCACCTCATCGTCCGTACACACAAACGTAATGTAACCCTAACCCAGAAGGCAGAGGATGTGCACATAAAGTGATGTTTCACATCGCCAACTAGTGGTCAGGCAGGTACACTGCAGATCCATTTTCAAGGCGGTTGTTATCAGAAAGTTGTCGTCTAAAGGCAGGCTTTCATGAAAACCAAAAACAAAAACAGCTTTCATTCTCCACCTTTAAACCTGCCAGGTTCAGAGAACATTAGTTTTTGATTCACTAAAAGTTGTTTCAGGCTTGTCCACACGTGAACGGGTATTTTTGAAAATGTGTTTTTTTCTCTGCATTTTGACCTTCCGTACACACGGTCACTGAAAAAGTAAGGTGTGTGTCTTTAGCTTCATTTCTTCTTTAAAACTCTCTTCATTTTAAGATTTAGGGTTAAATGTGACTCTATATTTTTTACTTGTAAACAAACCCCATAAAAAGACCAAAACCAAGATCGTGTCAGTCTCTCTAAACGTCCCTGCGTCTTGTCGTTGTTTCTCAGCCCCAAGCCCATTACTTCATACTGAAGATATAAAACTCATACAGTAAATAAAGGGGGGGAAATTAGCATTCACATATGGTACTTTACAGCAGCTGGACGGTTGTCATGGTTTTCAGGTAAATAAAAACTACAGTATGGGAGCATGCTAACAAAGAAACTCATGCAGTGCAGCACTGAGTGTTGGTGTGTTTGGAGGTCTGAGTAATGAAAAGATTCAAGGACCCAAATCAAGTAGATGTAGGGCGACTAAAAACAGCAGTAAGAAGAAAGGTCCACACACTTGTCTTGACCCAGTGGTCTTCATCAGTTGATAACTATCACCTTTCACCTTTAAAATGTGCGGTGGAACATCAGCTCACACTACGACAAATTGCTTACGACACTGGACCGAAGCTCATGATTTATGAGCTCACACTGAACGAGTGTTATCAGGATGGAGCATTCACATTAATTGACCTGAATTCGTACAGTTTAGGCCCGAGTTATTCTGGACAAGGCCAATGCTCTTCGTTTCAGGACAGGCAGCTCCTCATCATCACTCAGTGGTTTCCTCTGACTTGCACAGATACAAGCCGAGGCGTGACAACCACAAGTCCTACACACACTGCTGTGAGGACACACTCCTGCAGCTTATTCTGAACGACATCAGAAGGATACTTGATTTCAACAACCAACCGTTGGCTCAGGTTTGTGTCCGCACACTTTACAGCTCACGCCTTCCCTGCTGCATGTCGCATATGGCTTGTTTATTACTTGTGTCATCAAACCTCTGCAGCTCTTCCAGGATGCTCCAGCTTCCCTGATCTTCATATTACAACACTCATCTGGTTTCTCTATGGTGGCTTCTCAAATCTGATTTTAGACCAATAGCTCAGGCCCAGATTACATCAAGGATATGCACAACAACAACGCTCAGCTACTGCCAATAGCCATTTGTTGTATTAAATCATTAGCTAAATGTTGAAGACATTTCAATGCACATACAGAATTGTTAAGGGATACATTCAGTGTTGGTTTTGGTCAACACATGGGATTTGTCAACAATAACACAAGACTGATCATGTGAGACAAACTCACAGCTTGTTTAAAATGTTAGCAGCAGCTAATTTAGCCTCATGATGACCATCCAGGCTTTTTACCTCCATTTCTGACTCACCTGTGGCGCAATCACAAAAAAAATGTGTGTTCAATTTACCAGCAAAGCTCAAAGGATCTTGGTTACACTTTTATACACATATATATTGATTAGCAGCTTAACTAGATAAACAACAAAGACGCTATTTCTCTAAACACGAACAAACACACATCTTGGTTACAAAATGTCAAAACTGTTCATCAGACACTGAACAGAAGTGCATTCAGCTGCTAGACGTCCAATATGCTGCCAGGAGAAGTGTTTCCATCAGACAGAAGCCCTCGGTGTTGTAGCATGTCAGTAGCTGTTGCGCTGCACCCAAAGCACAACAGCTATTGACATGTAAATGTGTGTGTTTGCAGACAGAATGGAGTCAGTGCGGTTTGAATAAATCAGCGTTCGCTCCAGGTGCTGCCTCCACTCTGTCTGCTCCTAGACGTCGGTGCTGACGCTGTGTGTGACCACCTCCCGCATGGTGACGGAGCGGATGAGATTTAACTTCTGGTAGAAGCTAGCCAGGTCAATGGGTAGTTCCAGGTCCTCCTGCTGCACAGTCCTGTAGCTTATCCTGCGCCCGCCGTTGCACAGCCTCTCAGGGTGCTGCAGGTAGAAGGGCAGTGTGCAGCGAGCGCAGGACGGGCAGAAGGCATGTGAGCGTTGGCACCTGCGGGGCGGAGGTGTGGGGGAGTAGCTGGTAGGCCCGTTGGCCTCAGTGAGGAAAGTGGGAGTGTACGGCTCTGGTTCCTCGTGAAAGATGTGTTCCGGCGTCGGAGGCGAAGGGGGAGCGGGCAGAGCCAGGGGGCGGGATGGCGACATGCTGGTGAGCTCTGGTTCCTCCTCTTCCCCCTTCTCAGACTCCTCCCTCTTACAGCAGTAATACTGAAGACGACAAACACAACAACAGATAAAGAACAGTCAGAGCTGTTGTCAGAGGAAGGAGAAAGGGTAGATTTTATGACACCAAGTAACAGCAGCCACATCTGTGTTTATACCTGCCTTCTTAAAGACAAATAATCTTGTCCTGAATAAGCTAACTGGCCCAACGAGTCTGTTGTTGGTTTGTTTGAGCATCAAAATTTCTAGCATCAAGATTCAAACGAAAAAAAGACTTCAAATATTTCACTTCATGTCTACTGAATCTAGAGTATATGAAAGTTTCACACATGAGCACATGTCTCTCCTCTGTACATCTCCCTCCTCTGACTCCCAGTTACTGCTCGCATCAAATTTAAAACTCTGCTGCTCGCTGACAAAACAGCAACAAAGACGTCTCTGATCCAGGTCTACACTCCCCCCCCCCCCCCCCCCCCCCCTACGCTCTGCCAATGAAAGGCGTCTGATCCAACCTTCACAACAGGGTCCTAAGTCTCTGACTAGACTCTTCACCTCTGTCGCCCCCCGGTGGTGGAATTAACTTCCAAACTCCATTCAATATGAGAGTCCCTCTGCACCTTTAAGAAAAAGCTAAAGACCCAGCTCTTTATGAACACATACAACCTTCATGATGATGATGGTATTTAAGATGGTTTTGATGTTGTGCTCTACCTCTGGTCACTTCCTGTCAGCACCTGTGTGTCCAATCAGACTAAAATCTGTTTGTTTTTCACTTCCTGATGTTGTTTCCTCCTCTCTAGATCTTTGCTTGTGTTACTCTCTAATGTGCCGCTTTGGATAAAAGCATCTGATTAATGAGCCACACTTGTGTTTTATACAGTCACAATTAAAATGTTTTACTCTAGATGTTCACATCTTTAAGTTAAAATGTGTTATTATCTGTTAAACACTGAATGTTTGGTGAAGAGTCAGAAAGTCTTACCTGTAACCTACATAAACACAGTACAGCAACGATGGTCAGTAAGATGACTGTAGCCAGAATTCCTCCTGCGATGACCACTGTCCCGGCTGACATTCGAACTCCTCTCCATCAACAACCTGCAGGGAGGACGAAGAGGAGGAGGACAAGAAGAAGCGGAGAAAAGAGGAAGAGGAGGAGAAGAGATGGAAGGGAAATAGAGCAAGAAGGAGGAGGATGAGACAGAGTTTGGAGACGGGGAGAGGGAGAGGAGGAGAAAGACATGGGTTGGTAGAGGAATGAAGCAGCAAGGAGGGATTAAATAAGGAAGGAGGTCAAGAGAGGGGAAGATGATGTGGAGGAGAGGGTATCGTGACAGAGACGAGAGAGGAGGAAGAGGAAGGAAAAAGGGAGAAACAAGGTGGAGAAAGAAATTAGGAGCAAAAGAGATGAGAAATGGAGAAAAAAGGAAAATGGAAGGCAGTGAAGAGTGTGCAGAGAGAAAGAAAAGAAAAGAAAAGGAGAGAAAGATGGAGATAAAAAGAGCAGAATAAGGAAAAGGTCAAACCAGAAGGGTGAGGAAATGAGATCGTGAGAGGAGGAGGAGGAGGATAGAAAAGTGATAATGATGTTAAAATGTTTAGACTTCACTGAAACGCTCCAAAAGGTTAAAAAAAGGTTTCTCATGCCAGCAGCCATTACTGAAAATATTGCTAATTGCTTTTATTCTGTTACAACATTTTTCTGTCATAAGAGTAAATATCAGCAGCTCTGACTGATTGAACCTTCAGAGCCTCAGTAATGACCACATATGATGTCTTCAGATAAAACACATCATTACAATTAACCTGACGATATTTTTCATCCTCGACAAAACATCACAGGCCAGGATTAAGACTTGAATTATTAGTTTTAAATAAAGTTTTAAAGGTCACATATTCTGTAAAATCCTCTTCACCATGTGTCTCTAGTCTGTCTACAAACCCCCCAATGATGAGAAAAGTCCATCTTCTCCGTCTTCTTCCTGCTCCACTTTTCAGAAAATGTGTGCTCAAACAGGCCGTTTGGAGATTTTACTTTCATGACATCACAAAGGGTAGTAGCCCCTCCCCCAGGTGGGTGACACTCCCACAGCTAGGTGTTTGTTCTGCCCTCTGAGTCTGCCTTCTCAACGTAAACAATAGAACATGGAGCGAGAAAGACCGAGTACACCCGAGCCCTTCCAGAGAGGGGGCGTGGTCAGACACAGCTCATTTACATATTTAAAGGTACAGACACAGAAACAGCCTGTTCTGAGCAAGGCTGAAATAAACACACATGTTTTGAGGAGCTCTGAGACTTATTTAAAGTTTTTGAAGAGGAGGAGAATATGTGACCTTTAAATTTAACCTGGGTATATGATGAATGAGGAACTCACACATATGGCCTGATTCAGGATTGCGCTGCTTTGTCAGCCTCTAAACTTGTGCAAATGAGAGAAATATTTAAGCGTGCAATCCACAAAGCATGTGCAAAGGATGAAATGCATACAAACAACAGAAAGCAATGCTTATCCACAACTGACATTTATACCATGTGAAGATTTCAGTTATGACTGAGAAGATTGTAGATCAATTATAACTGAAGGCGAGAAAATTCTAGACACACCTAAAGTTCTCACATCTTTTTATGAAAGAGATGGAAATCTAAATTAGCCTCTGGTTGCTGGTTAGCATTTCACAGACAAACTAATCCATTAAACTTTAAACTTAGAGCCACCAGAGCAACCTGACAACTAAACAATCTGACAGCAGACAGAGCGCTAACCAAGCTAATAGAGGGCCCACAAACTTTCAACCACAGCAGTGGCTCAAAATGTGCAAAATATGCAATGACAGTAGGAAACCCCCCTTAGCGGGCCCCACAGCACTCACTGTCGTTGCGCTGCTACACTTAAATAAAATAACTTTAGCTAGCATTGCATCATGGCGTTTGCTCTTTGAGGTTTAACATTTTCAGAATCCAGTTTAAAGTTCTTGTTGTGTTTAGAGCCTAGATTGGTCGAGCTCCTGCTTACATCACTGAGCTGCTGAGGCCTTATAACACCAGCAGGTCCCTGAGGTCCTCCGACCAGCGTCCTGCACAAGACTTCAAACTAAAGGAGACTGTGCCTTTGAGCACTGACACTTTGGAACTGTCTTCCTCCAGAACTGAGAGCCCTGAACTCAGTGGACTTTTTATCATCTTCAAAAACCAGCATGATTTTGGAAGTAGCATTCCCTCACTGCTCCTCAGAGTCCCCCTTGGAGGGGACCCTGCAAATTTGTGCATATGACAAATTAATGAAACCTTTATTGGCCCTAAGGGAATTTTACTTACAAAGAAACATATACATACACATAAAATCACATTAAAGCATCACATGATTACATGAGGGAGTTTCAGTAGCCAGTTAAATAAAGTGCAGAGTGCCGGGTTCATCCAGTATAATCAGAGCTGATTCAGCAGCTAAACACTCTGTGGTACAAAGGATGTGACAACTCAGTTAGTCCTAATCCAGGGCAGAGAGAAGTGTTGCCAACTTGTCGACTTTCTCGCTAAATTTGGCAACTTTTCCAAATCCTCTTGGCAACTTTTTGTCAAAAGCTACTGGCGACAAATCCAGACTTTTTCTGGTGTTATTGGAGACTTTCTGGTGTTTTGGAGACTCTGACGTGAAAGCATGTATCGCTCTGCAGTTACCATCCTCAACGAGCAGCGGGTGCTGTCGTGAGCCACCCCCCCCATCTCAAAGCACTCACAGGCTGTCAGTCTAGCCTCGCGCAACAGTCCCAGCTGTACATGCAAATAATGCAAATTAGGAATGACGTCATTTAGCGACCTCTAGTGACTTTTAGGACAGCCAATATCTTCTGTCCTCACTGAGGAGTTGGCAACAGTGAGAGAGAGGGTCTGCTGTGATCTTTTTGGATAAATTCAGTGTGTACCGGTCTGTCAGGTTAGACATTTGCTTCCCAGTTATCTTGCTGCCTAGTTTAACCTTGTCCAGTTTGTTCTTATTGTGACAACAGACTCAAGAAGGAGATATTATTTAGAGCAAAATGTGACACAAGGTTCTTTTTTAGTTGGATTTTTTCTGCATGTGAGAAAGAGCAACTCTTCTTTGAAACTGCATCAGCAGGAGAGGCAGATTTTTATATTCACTTTCACTTCATGTTTTATGCAACAAATCTGGTCCCAAAGCAGAAATCTGTTTTCATTCACAAATAAAAAGAAAAAACAAATCTCTACAAAGAGGTTTGTCGACCTTTTATTTGACCACAGATGGAAGTGTAATCAGAGTAGGCAGTCTGAAATCACTCGTCCACAGGGCAAGACTCTGAATTTAAAACATGAAATACTAATATTCAGCCGCCCCTCATGTTTTATAAAATATCAAGAACTGGGGCAAATGAGCACGCATGAAGAGTGAGTCACACGAGGAGAGATCATGGTCATCGTCAGCTCCTCTCATCGACTTCCTGCGTGACGATGGTCAGCAGGAGCGTGTCGAGGCGTGCGGCTGTAACACGCCATACACGGTAAAAAAGGACCGACTCAGACTCTGCTGAGGAGAGGTCCACAGGTAGATTTGACTCTCAAGCTCAGTGTTGACCCCTGACTTGCCTCACTGAAGTAGATCGTAACAGTTCTACTTCCAGCCTGAGCCCACCGTTTGGGTTTGCTCTTTTTAATACGGCTTTGTATGGCGGCATCTTCACCGTGGGCGACTGAAAATGGACACCTGCAGTGTGTGCAAAACGCAGCATATTCATTGGCTGGTACTTTTCAAAGGAAGCCGTTTGGGAGCTCTTTGGAAAACGCTGACTTCCTGTTAGCATGATAAGCTAGGCTAGCTGAGCAACAGCTGCAACTTCAAGATTGACTGACACATGTCGAGACAAATCAGTGTTGAGCTTTGCCTCGTGGTGCATTAGTGATGTTTTTCTATTGGTTAATACAGCCGCAGCCTTGACAATGACATTGATTGACATGTTAGCATGGTGTATTGTTTTTGTTGGTCAAAACTGTGACATCTGAGTGATTTATAGATATGTGAGGTGACTCGGGACATGGAGCTTGTGGACTTATGGCAACAACACGCTCATTGTTGCTAGGTTAGGAAAGTTAACTTTTGCTCTCCTGACTAAGCTGTTGCTGTATGTCCCGCCCCTTCCTGATTCTGATTGGTCGGTGAGGGAGAAGTGACATTGATGAGCTTCGTGTTGTCCCAAAAGTGAACTGTGTTCGGTGTGAGTGCAGCGACTAAAAGCAGCTGATGGCTAGAGTATTTTAACGCTCAGGATGCTAAGCGCAAAAAAAGTTAAACTAAATAAAACAGTTTCCATGGCAACAGAACCCTGGACATCAGCATCCCTGAAGCTGGAGAGAGACGTTTACGCCCACACAGACAGTCAGCATCACACACACAAATCACCACACACAGACACACACTCAAAGGTCAGAGACCAGCGTGCCGCCTATCGTCCCATTCATCACTTAACACAAAAAAACATACAGAACACTGCACACGAGCAGCATCGCTCCCTATTGTCCTCTCTTTGCATGGTGTGAGATTTAAATGTCAAACAGCATTTAAATCTTCACCTGGTCACATTTTTATTCTGAGTTTACAGAATCACTGCACAGTCGTCTGTTTGCTTTCTTTACAGGGTTATGACGGTGTGGAGAAGACTTTACATCACCACACTGCAAAATCAAATGTTCATACACTTTGAATGAAAAGTTCAAATTCAAAGAAATGAAACGTTCATGTTCATGTTCAAAAGATTCTTAGGGACTCGGTGAAGAGTCTCCACAAAGTAGAAAATATTTTTTTTCATTTTACATTTAAGGACAGTCAGCTGAACTTGCAGAAGGTAGCCCTGCAGAAAATCAATTCAAGCTTTTAAGCAGGAAGAGCTTAACAGTATGATGTTTCAAAATAAAAGTCTGATCATCTGTCTGCAGACTGTAGATCATGTGTACACTGGAGCTTTTACGCCTTTCTGTTTCAGGTTTCAGGGATGTTTAAAAATCACATGTCCAAACCATTTCTATCAATGAACTAACCCAGATGAATATTTTGCACGCAGGTG